AATTTATGGAACCATTTGCATATTCAGCAGATCTACACCTGAGGGATACGTCAGATTCTTAGTTCAAACACACCTTTGTAAAAAGGTGTCACTGATACTTAATGTATCAATTAATAAGACTAAGTTTGATACTTGCAAGTCTCGTCTGTCTGAAAATAGATTCCTGATGCAATCTTAAGGCTCAAGATCTTGCTGAAGTTGGTTGATGAGAAAGAACCAGTTTGAGTCAGAGGATCTTGGTGAAATTGAAAGGACAAGGCCGAGGCCTGGCACGAGCTTAGCGTTTCCGGAAGCGTTTTTCTTACATCCTCTCAGAATTAAAACAAACCACCGACTGGGAGGGTCCCTGGAGCAGGGCCTTTAAGGTCGGAGAAGATCCCCGCCTTTCAAGATGGGCTTGTCCAATGAGAAAGATGGAAATTCCGAGCGGGAGGTGGCAATTGCTGGAGGGTTTTACGACCCTTTGTCTCTAAGCATGGTAATTTGCAAATGGACTTGAATCGAAATTACTAAAGATTCTCAGGACCCTAATATATATTGCCTATGTACCAATATATAATATACACGCTTGTTTCGATCATAAGAAGGCGAATTCATAGATACTAGACAAGGTAGGATTACAAATAGTGAAAGGATGATAGGAGTGTGTTTCGATTATAAACCTGCATCACAGTATACAATTTCAAAGACAAAATACACGATGACAATAATATACCCAATGACCTGAAGGATCATGTGTGTTCATTCAAAGAAAGGTTTTCCTATTAATTAATTAGCAAAGAAAAGTCCTTCCCTTGTGGATTTTCCTTATGGGCAAGGAAGCGATTTTCTTCACCTAAATTCCAGGAGGTCGTAAATGTATCGGGTGTCAGGGTTGCCATGGAACCAGGGGCCTGTTCGGCTCCCTGGGGTGTTACAGAGTATTTGTTAAATCTAGCTAACAAAATATATATTGTGTGTTTGAGTGGTCCAGACGCTACATTATGGAGACATTTGACTGAAGGAGGCAATCCAATACCTGTTCCGATGCACAGACAGACACACAGTTAAGCTCTTTTTGTATCCATTAATTCATTTGGAACAAATTGGTCACTGACTAGAGTCATGTTGCCAAGACAGGGCAATTCAAAACCAGTCGCATGTTTGGTAAATGGAACTCATGCTATCCATTATCATTCTATACAAACGTAAACTTCTGTTAATCAAAGTTAAAGGTGAAAAGTGTATTTTTTAATGGTAAACTTCCTTTCTTGCTTTCTAAAGAGTGTAACACTGTGGCTCTGTGGTGCTTTCAAAACATTGTTTGAGTGGCACGACATGTCAAATTCTGGCTCAACCAATGGCATGGGTTTGGGGAACTTGGACTGCCTTTTTTATCCAAACAATGGCAGACACTGTTGTGCAGTGTAGTTTTCCTAGTGTTTGGGAAACCTGCTTGAAAATAAAGCATTTTTATTCCTTTTTGTGTCAATCTTCTCTTTAAATTAAGAGTTCACCCAAAAATGAACATTCTGTCATTATTTACACACCTTTGTGTCATTCCAAAACTGTATGACTTAATTTCTTCTGTCGAACATAAAGGAAGATATTTTGAGAATTATCTTGTAAGCCAGTGGGCACCAAAACTGTATGGTTACCAACATTCTCCAAAATATCTTCAACAGAAGAAAAAAGTCATCATACAGGTTTGGATTCTGTGTTATGATTCGGACTTCAGTGTGTGACTTATCATAATATATATCATAATAATCTCATTCCATTTGATACATTTTTACACAAATCATAGCATTGACTGCATTCATCAAGCCCAACCATTTAACACTGTTTTCAAAGTATTTGTAATGATATAATAAACGATAAAGAAATAAAACAGCTGTGTTAATGTGTGATTTGAGCATTAGCACATCTTTTTATTGACTCTTGATTGAAAAATAATTTTAAAAAAATTGTTAAGAACTTCAAATTTTGTACTCCATTCATGGGAAGTGTTTAAGAATAAACCGGTTTAGTTTGTTTTTCAGTGTTTATTGTCCATAGATTATTGACCTTTAGCAAAAAATAAGACTCAAACTGGCCTATAGTGAAGCACCTGAGATCCTCCAGAGAGCCCAGAAGTCTTAGAAGAAGAGTGTTTCCTTACCTTCAGCTCTGGGATGTGGATTCTGGAGCTCGTGGCCAGACCGGTTTTGGCTGAGACCCGTTTGAGTTTCTCTAAAGACTGACAGCTGATTTTATCCAGAGGAACCGAGATCAACCAGAACTCCATAACGGTCGTTCTTCTCACCTGTGACAGCAGTCTGTGACTTAGAATGAGTCCAATTATGAATTCTAGTGGACGCACATTGACCAGCTGCTGACTGTATCACTGGTTTGCTGACTACAGTGTCTGAGCAGATTAGGTTTCTCAGACAGACGAGCACAATTCTCATGTTCTAAAGACACTACAGTTTTATGATGAGAGTAAATTAGGAAATAACTCATCGAGATGAGCTGAAGAAATGTCTGTGAGATCCATCTTCAGATTTTACGAAACTCAGTAGTGTGTATGGTTCTGTCACAGAATTGAACTGATAATTCAGCACATTCAGCAAACCAATTATATTGATTTGTTTATATTTAATTAATGAACATTTATCTTTAATCTAATGAACATCTTTAACAAAAACAGTTCTACAAGTTCATCAATACATGTAGAACAAGTAACGAGCAACTCACATAGATTCTCACTTTCCTGTGGTTAGTCATGTTTACTGTGTGTTTTGCACAGGCAGGTGTCTGAAGCTCACATACAATAGTGAATAAATGAAGATAAAATGTAGTATTATAAAACTGAATTATAAATTAAATAATAGGATAGAGGTAAGTGAATGAAGTATACATACTTCATGAGGTATATGAAGTAAGGCATGTAAAGTGATCATTGTTACAGCATTGTGAGAGAACAGGTGTTGCGTGCAAACATTGCCATAATGAGAGACACACGCTCTTCTCACATTGCATTCCGTGATGCTGAAATTGTTTCACGCCACGTTTTTTAAGCATCATTATATGCTTAGTTTGGATGTGTTCATTGTTTTAGTGCTCAATGCATGCACCAGATTTGATCAAAACATTTTTTTTTCTTTTTATTCTTCTCATATATATATATATATATATATATATATACTGTATATATATAGACAGAACTGGGTAGACTACTTACAAATTGTAGTCCATTACTGATTATAGATTACATTATGAAAACTATAGTTAGTAATGTAATCTAGATTATTCATTTTAGGGAATCAGAATCAGAAAGAGATTTATTGCCAAGTCCGTTTACACACAGAAGGAATTCGTCTTGGTGTCAGGAGCTTCCAGTACAAACATAGTGCAGACATACATATAATTTAATGTAATAAAACACTAATAATAAAGAGAATAGACAATAAGTTATAAAATAATAATATAGTAATACAATTTAGAGAAAAAGAAAATGTCAGTAGACAGAATGTGAATGTGCATATGTGCTATTTACAGATGAAAGTTTTGATGAGTTATTCACAGATGTACAGTCCTGAGGTGTGTTATGTGTTGTTCAGGTGGGATAAGTCCTGGGGGGAAAACTGTTCTTGTGTCTGGCTATTTTGGTGCTCAGTGCTCTGTAGCCCCGGCGAGAGGTCAACAGTTCAAAGAGGGAGTGTACTGGGTTTGAGGGGTCCAGAGTGATTTTACCAGCCCTTTTCCTCACTCTGGAGGTGTAAAGATCTTGGAGGGTGGGCAGAGGGGCATCAATAATCATCTCAGCAGTCCTGACTGTCCGACGTAGTCTTCTGATGTCTGATTTGGTAGCAAACCATACAGTTATAGATGAATACAGGACTGACTCAATGAGGGCCGAGTAGAACTGTGTGAGCAGCTCCTGTGGTAATGTATTCTAAATACTTTTTAGATTACTTTTAGATTACTATTTTAACTTTTTTAAACTTACCATTTAACATACCATATTGATATAAAATGCAAAGAGAAAGAAAATATACTCCATTTTTTTATATCAACATTATAAGATGCATTAGGCTTTCCCAAACTGGGCTTAATGTAAGAACTGCAGTAGGTTTTTGAGTTGATAGAAAACTAATAAATAATTAAATCATAAAAATGTACAATAAAAATAAACAGGCTTGTATAACCCCACTTCTTAAGAAACCACTCTTAGCCCAACTCTTTTAGTGAACTACAGACTGGTTTCCCTTCTACCTTTCATTGCAAAAACACTTGAATGAGCCTTTCTCACATAGAACAACCTCCTGGACAGCAACCAATCTGGCTTCAGAAGTGGACATTCGACCGAGACTGCCTTGCTCTCAGTTGTTGAAGCCCTAAGACTGGCAAGAGCGGCAACCAAATCTTCTATAACTTATCTTGCAAGATCTGTTCACTGCTTTTGATACACTCTCAGAAAAAAAGGTACAAAATCTGTCACTGGGG